AGAACAGGTTTTCATATCACAAGAAAAGAGAAAAAAGAATCATCATACTGAACCAAATAATGATCTCTGCAAAATTACAGATATTGAAACTTAATTTAGTTGATTATAGAACAAGATAAATAATGCAAACATATGTGTACCAAAACAAACATTTAGCATGTAATACTGTAAATGTCTCTGCAATTAATTTCAATATCTCCTTGTACATAATGCACAAATACAATAACATTTCCTTGCAATAAGTCTGTGCCACTGTTTCCATAGTGAAAGGTGTATATTATGTGCATATTATTTGTTTTATATGTTATCTCATCTTATTATTTCTACTCATCTTACAGTTGCGTTTTTTTAAATTGTTGTCATTTTATTCTGAGTAATTTATTGTTTCTTTGTCTGTACTGTGTTATTTTGTGTACCATACGCCAGTGAAAGACATATTTCCATCAACGCCTGCATTATTGAACAATTAGGTTTTGAATGTTGGTAGTGGGCTCCATTGAAATGTCAATCTTGTGTGTAGAGCAAGGTTATTATCGTTAACGAAAACGAACGAAAAAACGAAAACTAAAATTGAACAAAAAAATTCGTTAACTGAAATAAATAAAAACGAAAATTAAAAGAAAAAAAACGATAACTAACTGAAACTGTTTAGAAAACGAACTAAAACGAAAATATAATCGTCTCTGTCAATTTAATTATAAGCCTCAATTGGTTGGATCCATATGACTTATTTATTCCGCTCTAGCAGTTTTACGCCAGCTGGCACCAGAACCTTACTGCACCTCAGGTGAATTTATGATGAAATAAGCTGCAGTCATCTCCTCGTGATGTGCTCAGATCTGTCACACATTGTTGTTGAGCTGTTCAGTGAACCTCTTTGTTGGTTATTTTTTGAAAACCAAATGTGTGGTTACAAATTGTGTCTCACACTGACACTCTCACTTTCCTTTTGTAATATATGCACTTTGTTTGTATTCATTAAAGGAACAGTTCACCCAAAAATGAAAAGTCAGTCATTATTACAGTAACTCACCCTCATTTTTTAAACTTATCTTTTGTTGAATTTTATCATACAATACTCACTCTGACCTTTTTGAATCTTGCACCTGACAAATAACCCAAAGTATGAAAAAACTAAAACTAATACTACAACGAATAAAATCTAAAATAAAACTAAGCATTTTTGAAAATATAAAAAGTAATAAAAACTAGCAAACCCACACTAAAAACGAATTAAAACTAACTGAATTGGAGGGGGAAAAAAGTCAATACGAAAATGAAAATAAACTAAAATGAATGATATCTGAAACTATTATAACCTTGGTGTAGAGAAGAGAAGGATTTGGTGTGCAGAATAAAGGAGAAGGAAAATGCAAGAAAAAGAAGATTGTGCATGTTGAGTCAGAAACAACAGATGGAGCTGATACACAACTCAGTTTAAGTTGAATTCCAAATAATTGCTTGATTGTTATCAAAATCTAACAGGCCAGGAGGGACGGAGAGAGGTCTACAGGAGCTGACTGAGGCTGTGGGTGTGTGGGTGAGTGCTGGGTGAGCATGCGCACATGCATAAAAAAAATCCTATTGTACCTTTGATTAAAGAAAACATGCTATACAAAATAAACAAAATTAAAACTGATAAATAAAACTAAAAATACAGCTTAACTTTTGAACAATGGTGAGCATAACGACCTATAGAGAGAGTTAAATATACACAAAAGGAACAATGAGGAAGCATGAAACGTCTGGTGCACTCTAGATACAACTGTTGAACCTTTAATTCAAAATACACGCTTTCCTATTCAGTTACTGTATTACTGGGAAACTTGAATGATTATTGCTGAAGATTGATGTTGAGGAAGGATTCATGGATTTCAGGGTATATGCAGCAACTCCAGCTTTCAGCCCTGACTCTTTCCAGGTCCTTGGACCAATACTCTTCACCTTATATATGCTCCCCTTAGGCAACATTATCAGACAGCACCACATACAATTCCACTGCTATGCAGACGACACCCAATTGTATATTTCCATGAAGCATGATGAATCTAATCACCTAGTTCAACTTCAGGAATGTCTCAAAGATATCAAGGCCTGGATGACCCAAAATGTTCTACTTTTAAACTCAGACAAAACTGAGGTTGTTGTAATTGGCCCTAAACATCTCAGAGAAATACTGTCTGACCAGATAGTCACCTTAGATGGTGTCACTCTGGCTTCCAGCTCCACTGTGAGGAACCTTGGAGTGTTGTTCGACCAAGAAATCTCATTTGACCCCCATATTAAACTAGTGTCTAGGATGGCTTTCTTCCATCTGCGCAATATTAKCAAAATTAGAAACATCCTGTCTAAGCAGGATGCTGAAAAACTAGTCCACGCGTTTGTAACCTCTAGATTAGATTACTGRAACTCTCTATTAGCAGGATGCTCCATGAAGACTGTTAAAGTCTCCAGTTGGTCCAAAATGCTGCAGCACGAGTGCTGACAGGAACTAGAAGGAGAGATCATATCACTCCTGTCTTAGCTTCCTTACATTGGCTCCCMGTAAAATTTAGAATAGAATTCAAGATCCTGCTCCTCACATTTAAAGCCCTCAACAATCACGCCCCCTCATATATCAAAGAGCTGATAACACCTTATTATCCAAGTAGATCACTTTGTTCCCAAAACACAGGCTCTCTAGTGGTTCCAAGAGTCTGTAAGAGTAGAGCAGGAGGTAGAACATTTAGCTATCAGGCTCCTCTCCTYTGGAACCAGCTCCCACTCTGGGTTCGGGAGGCAGACACTGTCCCAGCATTTAAAGTAAAACTAAAAACCTTCCTCTTTGACAAAGCCTATAGTTAGGGCTGGATCAGGTGAGTCCTGAACCATCCCTTATTTGTGCTGCTATAGGTTTAGACTGCTGGGGGAACTCCCATCATGCACTGAGCACTTCTTCACTTCCCTCTGTCTCTCTGTCTCTCTGTCTCTCTGTCTCTCTGCCCCCTCACACCTGTTTATTTATTTATTTATTTATTAGTTTTAACATGTCATCATGTCAAAGTGTCACTTTGTCCTCCCATAGTCCCTCTGGCTCTTCTCTCTATCTCGTTTCAGATAACTCTGGCACCGGGACTGCAGGACAACAACGACTACCATCGACATTGTTAGCATTAATTAAAATAACTCAGTAATTCATTAATATATATAATCCTGTTGTAGATCACTACATTGTTATTGTTATAGTCAGCCCTGATAGTGATTGGTGCCCAATTGTTCCCGGTCTCTCTCTCTCCAGCTCGTCTCTCTCTTCTCTCCCCCGCTTTCCACCCATCTCTCCTTTCCTCCCCCTTACTTTTCTTTCCTCACCCCAACCGGTCGAGGCAGATGACCGCCCACATTGAGCCTGGTTCTGCCAGAGGTTTCTCCCTGTTAATGAGGGAGTTTTTCCTCTCCACAGTCGCCTGTGCTTGCTCATTGTGGGAACTGTTGGGTTTCTCTATGTTAATATTGTTTTAAGGTCTTGACCTTTAAATGTAAAGTGCTTTGAGATAATGTAAATTATGAATTGGCGCTATATAAATAAAATTGAAAATTGAAATTGAATTTCCAGGCACTGTGGACGGAGACATCGTTCACACTTGTCACACTGAATCTATAAAACAACAATGTGGGAATCTCAAATATGATTTTCAGAGTTTTCCCTCACATTTAAGTGGAAATTGACCTTTTTCCCACGGTTTAATGATCTGGGGGAATAAGAACTGTTATACACTGCAGAGGAATGAAATATGAATCGTTGAGACCCAGAGGGATACAGAGACCAATATGCTGAACGAGTTGGATAGTGACGCATAAACAAAACATGCTTGGAAGGTGATGTGTTTAGTCTTGTCACAGCCCAAGTCAAGTGATGGACAATTGGAGATAATAATTTTAGTTTTTTTAAGTAAAATTTGGTACTATTTGAAGATAACTAGCATTTCAAGGTTTTGTGACGTATTTTGGGCACCTTTTAAAGAGTGTTTAATGTTTATCATAGGATTACTAGCACCAGGAATAAAATGAATGCTGAAACATTACTTCCTTTCCTTTTTTTTATAGTGTCACATGATTTATGTGTTGGCCTTTATTCAGAAGATGCTGTCAGCCAGAAGCCATGCGGGACACACCTACAGTGCAGGGACCACTAGGCAGACAATGGCAAACACCCATGAAGGCATAGATCCAGAATGATTAAGAAACAGAAGAAAAAGTCCATGTAACAGTAATCCCTGCTCATTATATCAGGTCATACAACTTCAAAGTCAAAGCACTAAAAGATAACACCTCAGCATGATGATAACAAAAAGGCATTCTGAACTGCCCTCCACTAATTTACCTATAGCAAACACACTTTAGAACTCTATGAGTTTATTTTGGGCTACAGCATGTGACAGCCCAGGTTTGAGGGGTGATATCATGTGGGAGTGGCTTATTATTGCTATTTAATCACATATCTGCACCTCACTCTCTAGTGCAGAAGCTGCTGCTGGATTCTTCCCAGGAAAGTGCTCCAACATGGCTCCGTCTTGGATTGTTGGATTAGGTATGTTACAGGCAGATCTTCACACAAATGCCATTACTTTTGGTTTGGTTGATAAAATAATGTGTACTATTTTTGGATTCTTTCAGTGTGGCTGATGTGCAGCTCCATCACTCCATGTGGTAAGTACAGGGACTGTACTGTACTGTTTAACTTTCTTCATTGCTTAATAACTGACATGGGGCCCCATGATCACTGAATCATCACTTAGAAAACAGTTAAGAGTTTTTCTCTGCTGTATTTGTTGTTGTTGTCACTGGGATATGAAATATTCTGCAGTCCATAAAGTTGATCTAGTCCCGTGGTTTAATATAATAGATTGTGACTTTAATTGTTAGTATTAAAAAACTGGATCTGGATTTTAAAACACAGAGTGTGTGTGTGTGTAAAAAGTCAGACAGGACGCAATAGATGGACAAAGAGATGCAGAGTACATGTCTTTCTCTCTGGCTTTCTTTTTTTTTTAAATTCTTTCTTTCTGTCTGTCTGTCTGCATTGGCTCGTGCCATGATGCAACACTGTGTTAGTTTTGTGTGGAGGAGTAAACTGTCAAATTAACACATGGGATCGATGAATAGTCATGTGCCTCGAATTATTAACATCACATGTCGGGTTTTCTTATGGCAAAATTACATCCTGCCTGTTTCCCAATGTAAATGCATCAGATGGATCATCAATGACGAATGCACATGTTATAAGACCAAGGGAGCTCTGTGAGATTCCATGACTCTACTCTATGTATGTTTGTCGACAGAGTCTGCCAAGGAAGCTGAAGATTTCCCTCATAAAAGCTGTAACCAGCGGTAAGTGTTCACCTTCTATTCTTTGTGTGTTTGTGTGTGTGTGCATATGTGTGTTTCTGTCAGAGGCAATCAGTGGGGACAAAGTTCAGAAGAGTAACCATATGTTGACAAGGTTAAAAATGATTAATCCTGATTACCTCTATTCATTTTATCTAATCTATTTTATTATTTCTATTGTTCATTCATCTTACTCTCATGTCTCTGCCGTGTAAGTTTTTTTGTTTTGTTACATTGATAAGAAAAGGTAAATGAATTGGTTTATTATCATTATTATAGTCTCCATAAATGAATGCAAGCATGTCCCCACAGGAATGCACTATGCCCATAGGTGTTCATCGCTAAATAAGAAGTACAAGGATGTGTGCGTGTGTATGTTTGTGTGTGTGTGTGTGTTATGCCATTTTTGTAGTTCTAACCTCATTAACCTTACTTTGGTTTCTGCTGGAGCCTTAAAACTATTACTGCTGCAGTTGGGTCAAGTAATATCCTCTGTGATGTGTTCACATGTACAGATGTGTAGAACTCTGTAGCACATAGTGTATTTTTATCCTTTACCTGTGTAACTTGTCTTTTAAGATTCTCCATCAGAGGGCAGTATTACAAAGCATAAGAGTGAAATGTATATTGACAATTTCTAGAGTAGAATAACTTGAATAATTGCTCACATATTTACGATGAGTTAAAATGTGTGTGATGCTACTAAGATATTGTTTCCCTTGTCCTGCAGTCAATCATGTATGGGAATAATGTATGATATCCGCGAGGCTGTGTGCTGTAAGGATAATCTTCATCCAGGGCAAGGACTGTCATGTTGTGGACAACAGCCTTTCAACCCAGCTCTAGCCACTTGCTGTCAAGTAGAAAGTGGAAGCACATTTGCAGGTAATTATAATGAAACCAGCAAAAAATGTTGGTTTTCAAATGCTAAAACAGGGGAGATCAGTGTAACTGTGGTTAAAATGGAATTCAATAAAATAAACCAAAGCTCTTAATAGAATGCAGAAGATAAAGGAGGTGCTGACACTGTCCATTAGAAAATACTGACTATACCAAGAAGATTAGTCAGCTGCACATCCATGTTGCCACCACCATATCCCAAAGACATTTTGTTGGATTTTATCAGACTTTGCTGCTTTTCGGTGTGCTCCAACTTGTCTGGACATTCTAGTCCACAGAAATGTCGCACATATTTGTTCGTTTTTCACATCACTGAGTAATCGCTGAAGCTGTTATTGTGTGAAAGTCTCAATCCAGCTCATGTGACACCAATAGCCAGGGCACAGTCAAAGTCACTGAGTCACTTTATTTCACAAGACATATTTTTAGATAATGGGCATGGAAATTCCCCAGTGCTCACACTGCACTTTCAGCAGCTAACATGCCTACACCTGTATCATGACCTTATCTCTGCTTTCACAGCCAATGTTACGCTTGGTCTAAGTGAAACTGTGTCAGCCTGTTGTGGACTGGAGGCTTACAACCCAATCAATCATTTATGCTGTCAGTCAGCCATCGTCACCAAACCTGTTCCGATGGCCCAATGTTGTGGAAAAGGTGAGTAGAGTTGCACACTATCAATGGATGTGAAGCATCATAATAACATACTTACAAAACACAAGCACAGTTTATACTATATTAAGCCCACTGGAATAATATTTTCTTATTGGAAAGTGATGTTGCAGGACAGTAGGTTTGCTTACACAGTATTAAACTGTGTTACCTCTTTACACTTAAGTTAGCAGGTGTGTGCACGTTTTTTAAATGTGGGTAAAGCCCATAAAGTCGCAAAAAAAGTCGACTGACTAATTTTCCAATGCCATGTTGGATACTTGGTAGCTGCACTCTAAAAAATAATTCACTGGTTCAACTTAAAAAACTCAATCGGTGTGAATTATATCTATTGCAGTGGGTTGCACTATACCGCCGTGACATGCGTTTGAGGTTATTGTTATGGTGCAAATTTTGGGCAGTTGAGACAGCTGTCACATAAATGAAATAACTTGAAGATGAGAGTTTAAGGGAGGGTTTTTTACCTGCAGCCATACACCTGTGGACAAGAAACACAAAATATTGTAATGGTATTATAAATGGAAGCTCCACCCTGATCTGGAAGAAAGATCAAACTCTGCATCTCTTGTCAGAGAAGTCATCTCAGACGTTGTCTTGACAACAAATTTGAAACTAAACAAAAACAACATAATTAGTACACTCCGTCACGTACCTGACTTTTTTGCACAGTCGATGGAACTGATGGGTAGAATCTTGGGATTTCCATCAGTCCAACAGCAGCACTTAGTCTCAGTGTCATACTGCTCATGACCACAGCAGATACCAAGCATCCAAATGATTAAAACTTGTCTGCTGCATTTCATTTGACCATGAAGTTAACACTAGTTGATTCCATTCCTGATGCAGACATATGCCAGATGTTAGTAAATTTTTGTCCAAAGGAAAAGGAGCATAGAACTTGAGGCAGTCTTGTTGGATATTCCTATAGATGCAAGTGATACAACTGTTTTATCAAGTCTTACACAAACATATGTAGCATACTCTGCTCTGTTTTATTCTATCCAAACACTTTGCTCTGCTGGATATGTAGAAACTTAAAATGAGTTATCACAAAATCATGGCGATCTTGTCCACAGGGGGTTTTGATCAGGAGAAGCAGCTGTGCTGTGGTCCCCCTCACGACAAGAAGGTCCTGACAAGGATGTCCAATAACCACCAGTGCTGTCATCACAAGCAGTACGACCTCATCACTCAATGTTGCTGTGAGATGGATGGCACTCTCCACATACAACCCATTCAATCAAAGTGCTGCATGAAGGACTCAGGTGAGACTGGAGGACTCTCAACTCATCACTCCTATATACACAGCACTATAACACATTTAACACACATCGCACTGTCACATCTATTAAAAAATGAATTGCAATTTGTATTAGTCTTGAGTAGGGGTGAAAAGGTATACCGTATTTCGGTATACTGCGGTGGTGTAAAGCCACGGTGGTGACACCGCGAGATTTCCAAGCTCACGGTGACGGTAATTAATTAATTATTTTAATATTATGCGGCACAACTCCACTTACACGAGTAGGGAACTCACAAATAAAACATTTCACTTCACGTTCACATTAAGAATGATACTTGTCTGTTTTGTTGGTTATTTCCCCTAGTACCAAAAAAAATCTTTAAAAAAATAAAATACCATCACCGTGAAATACCGTGGTATACTGTACTAACACCATCACCTTACCATACTGTAAAATCCCATACCGTTACATCCCTAGTCCTGAGGCCTTTCAGATCAATCAATGCCTGTTGGATCGCATCAACAGATGTTCATATGAAATAATTTGCAAGAACAGAAAAATTGATAAACTCCACCTGTGCTTCCATGATAGCAAAACAATGCAGAACAACGTTTGCTGTTTGGCCCCAGCTGAAATGTGATTGGCCCCTGAAGTACCCCTGTCTTGTCGGTAGTCTTTAAAAAAAATATTCACTAAAATACTAATAATAAATATGAGAATGTGTTAAGAACACGGAACAATTTCAAGGATATGCGGCTTTTGCTAGTTAACAGTAAGGAAACAAGGAATGACTTGTGCATCTGACTGAATAAGGAATTGTGCCTGAATGTTGGACATATAATTGGCCCCTCTGTGTCCCCCTCTTTAAAGCACCAGATTTCGAAAAAGTCCTAGATCGACAACTGATGTACAGTACATTGGCTGGTGTAATAATTGAATGATTGGTTGGTTTGTAGATGTTGCATTGCAACACAACCAATGCGTCACCCATTTTACAGCTTCATGAAAACTCGGGCGTTTGATTTGACTTGATCTCTGTCTTTACAGCTCAGGCCCTGCTGGGTGAAGGCAAACTAATGTCTGCTCCAAAGGCCCAGTGCTGTGATAAAGGTGAGTAGAACTGCAAAACATTTCAATTTCAAATAAGCCGCTATAAATGTTAGCATCCGATGTGAGCTAACAGCAGACAATCCCCTGCTGGATTCACTGTGAGCGAGTGGGCGGGTTTGCCGCCCAACTCCATCTGCACATGTCTAGCCATGAGCTCTATGAACCTCTTCAATCCGGCTTCAGAACACACCAAAGCACAGAGACCGCCAGGGTTCTCACTCGCACCAAGCCCTGGCAGCACATCACCCTCACCCTCATCCAACTTCACTGGCTTCCTGTGAAGTCCCGCATCCATTACAAAATCCTCCCCCTCACCTACAAATCCCTCCATGGTCTTGCCCCCCAGTACCTGTCTGACCTCCTCTGCACTTATCACCCATCCCAGAACCCGCGGTCCTCAGACTCGGGTCTGCTCTCCACCCCACACACCGGCCTGCGAACTTTTGGTGACAGAGCGTTCAGCGTGGCGACCCCCACCCTCATCTCACATCCGCAATGCCCCATCTGTGGACACCAACAGGAAACTCATGAAAACCCACTTGTTCACCACAGCTTATGGACTCTAGCCTCAGCCAATCATCAGTATTCAGCCAATCATCAGTATTATTATCTTGTGTTTTGCTTCTTTTATTTTGTGTTTTCTCCCTGTAAAGCACCTTGGGTACCCTGAAAGGCTATACAAACCCAAATTATTATTATTATTATTTTTATTATTGATAACAATTCTAACATGCCATAGAGGCAAATGTGAAAAAAGGAAAGGCAGCTTCACACACATAGAAGACACCAACGAAGAAGAGAGATTGTGGTGATAGGAGCCGACAGTGGTGTCTGTGTTCTGTCAAGAGAATCACGTGATCGCTGCAGCGGAATTGATACGCTTCTGTCTGCTGCTTCACCTCTCACCTGAATATTGCGTAGGATTTGTTGCTGTTTTGAATGCGTCTGTGCGGAGAACCTCCCGCTGCATTGTGCATGTGTGAAAGGCAGACTGTGGGTAATATCTGGACCCAATTCTCAGGATTTTATCCTTGAATCTTGTCTGACAACAGCTAGTTATGGTAGAGGAAAAAAAATATATAGTATTTCATTCTGATCGTCTCCACAGCGGCTTCTGAGTCGGACAAATGCCTGTGCTGCGGTGCGATTAACAACAAGACGATCCTGATCAGGAAGTCCAGCCACCACCAGTGCTGTGGTCATGAGCAGTATGACACTGAGACTGAGTGCTGCCATTGGACTGGTGAAGATCCCAAGATTCTACCCATCAGTTCCATCGACTGTGGAAAAAAGTCAGGTATGTGACAGAGTGTACTAATTATGTTGTTTTTGTTTAGTTTCAAATTTGTTGTCAAGACAACGTCTGGGATGACTTCTCTGACAAGAGATGCAGAGTTTGATCTTTCTGCCAGATCAGGGTGGTGCTTCCAGTTATAATACCATTACACAACATTACAATATTTTGTGTTTGGTGTCCACAGGTGTGCGGCTGCAGGTAAGAAACCCTCCCTAAAACTCTCATCTTCAAGTTATTTCAATATGTCACAGCTGTCTCACACACTGATTGATTTTTGTAGATAACAGTATGTGAATAATTAGATGTTGTGATGCATCAGTCAATGAAGAAAAGTTTTGGAATATTTACATTTTGGTGCTTTATTTTTTTTAGACACCCATTCCTCAGTCCAACTGGTAAGTCAACCAGATGTTTTAACCCCCAGTATCATATGTGTTGTTGTTGTTTTTTTTTACCCAGTTCAATTTATGGTTATTTTAACCCACTGTTAAACACATTAACTGTTGCAAATTCATCCTAATATGCATGTGACATTCAAAAGTATAAAATATCCACAAATTATTCATAATTAAAAACAACGAGTGACATGTAGGTTTAAGATGACCTGTGGTAGAGTTCACCACCACACTGGTTTGAAATTGTATATAAAGATGGATGACATTTTAGCCCACTATCCAGAAACAAAGCTAAAATATCCTCGACATTAATGCTGCCATTGCGCATTTGGGGTTAAAATCTGCACAGCAGTGATCGGGGAATGGAGCCTTGGTAGAAATATGCATCTGATATGACTTTTATCACTGAGCATACTGTAAAAAGCATTATGCGAACATGCTTTGTGTTATGTGGTAGTGCTCCTTTGATGTGATATCGACTGCTTCTCTGTTTATTAATGCTTATCTTTAATTTCAGCAATGAGCCACACACACGTCTCTGTGGCTCATCATGTTACAACCCCAATGTATTACAGTGCTGTGAGATAAAGCATACAAGTCACTGCAACTCAGGTAGGTTTATGTCTTATCTTTCAGTCCTATCGGATGCTTCTGATAGAGGAAGATGAAGAAGTAAAAAAGATCCATGCAAATGATCATTCAACAAGGATTGGAGCTCAGTATGCAGTTACATTACTCCCTTAAGGACACAACCTAATAAGATTTTAACCATAGACTATAAATAAAGATGGTCAACATGTTTCCACTTTTATCCCAGTGTAGAAAAATGACGCCCAACTATCTGCTGCTTCTTGCGCTTGTGACGTAATCTGGAATGGTAGGATTGTTTGGTTCTGGTTAATGAATACCATGTTTCAAATAAGGTATGACATGAGTGTGTCTAGTCATAAAGTAAACATTTTTCCATTCAATAGAATGATATCAGGGCAAATTGGCTTTCAAAGAAGAGAGGCTCCTCCGCCCTGGAAAGCGCATTCCCTGTAGGCTACTCATGCCAGGCACTCCAGATCAGACGTCCTCTCAACAGACTGGGTTATAACTTTTACTGGTACCGGCTCCTTTCTTGTTGCTGTTGAGGGAAATACCAGTTGAAAAGTGGAAAACCAAAACCCTGATCTGTAGTGTCTTAATTATCCGTACAGTTTAAGGCAATACCGAGGAACAGAGAAGAGTCTCATAAGCTGCCTTCGGACATACACTGAAGTATGGACATTTGCTGGAGGGGCTCTATGTGAGAATGTTCCAATCAGTTGCTAAAAACATTTTCTGAAATTTTCCTTCCAGCCCCTGAACAAAATGTCTTAAAAAATCAAAACGCGCAACACAAATACCTCAGGATTAAAAAGAGATGCCATATATGTAGAAGATGTAAACGAAGATGTCTTATTAGGTAGATGAGATTCGAAAGGTTTTGTTGAAAAAAAACCGACGTTGATGTCAATGTCACTGTGCTGTAAACAAAAACTTCCTGCCTCCTGCATACTCGACCCTAACGCCACTCCTTGCCTGAATGTTCCCTACATTTTCTTGTTGTTATGCGTCTGACTCGACAATCTCCTGCTTCTTAATATGTGAGTGTGAAATAAACAGACGCAAATATCCAGACATTTTCCGGAGTTCATGTCTGAAAACGGCTACTGTACATTAATGGGCTTTTAGGTTCGTGTAGTAGTCTCATATAATCCCCAAATATCCTCACAGTCGACACTTTACGCCCACACCAACAGGAAGAAAAACAGAGAAAACTATGTCTCCTGTGAGAGATTAGAGACAGCTTCTCACATGAGCGCTTCCAGTTTTCTCCTAAAATTTTTTTGCATATGTTCAATGCTTCCCCTCTGACTCATCATTTCCACATCCTTCCCCCGACAAATAACTCCCCACTCTTTTGTCTTTTGTTCTCTTTTTAATTTCACAACTGCTCTTTCATGTATCCACCCTCTGTTTAGGCGGATGTGATACCACCCCCACAGTGTATGACCCACGCTCACAAGTCTGCTGTGACGGCTGTTTATCAAAGAAGGAGCCTCTGAAATATCAAGTAATGTCCACATGATATTCAGCTGTGTGGGAAATCTTTGGAAAAAGTTTGGGAAACTTTATCCACACTTTCCTGTGATGTTATTAGGCTTTATAATAATAACTTATTATCAGTTTTACCTGCAAAAAGAAAATTAACTTGAGGCAGAATCTCTTTTGTGTGGCTGCTTGTGGAACAAATACAGTACATCTAGTGAATATAATGAATACAAATAATTATCTACTAGTCTGAGAACTAGGAATAGTACATCCCAGTTTTTTCTATGGTGCAGTTTTTTTGAGAGAGCTTGGAGCTCCACCCAGCTACTTTTAGATGAGGACGATTTGGACTTACTGGACTGAAAGCCCTGCTAACGTTAGCGCCGCTGGTGTTTTTGCATTTGCAAAAAGAAGATATAACAACATCCTGGTAGAACTTTAATAGAACTTAATACTTGCAAAGGTCACTGTTTTTCTGACCTGCATTTGTCCTTATTTTTACATGTACACTTAGACCAGTACAGTGTATATGTGCAGTTTGTGTCTGCGTGTATATGGATTGCTGCACACTTATAGCTGTATTCTCTCTGATTCTTAAAGTGCTGCGGACAGATGCCGTATGGTTTGGCACAGCGTAGAGTTCTGTGCTGTAACGGCACCTTGTACACGGACAGAGAAGATGGAGAGGAATGTTCAGACACCAATATTCCTTTCAATCCTACTAAAGGGACTCTATGTTGTTCTCAGTTTCATGGCTCACCTGGACAACACTGCTGTGGGACAGAAACGTACCAGCCTCACAACGAGATCTGCTGCAATGGTCACAGGTGATTAAGTCTGCGTGTCTTTTCATGCTGGTCTGTGCACATTCTCATGAGAACTCAGTGAGACAGTGTATATTTTTTTTTTGCTTGGAATGCTGCAGCGTCTGGTACGTGTCTGCTCTTTACCCACTTATGACCTCATAAATATGTGTTATGAATAGTTAAGCAGGGAGGATATGTGAACCAAACCTAGACAGGCACCACAGTCTGTTTCCATGTACACCCTGTGATTCCATTTAGTCTCTGAGACAAACAGACATTCCATTGTTTACAAGAAATGTCTGTTTTTCTTTCCTTGATTCTTGGATTCTGTTACTACCTCCGCCTTGTGCTGGAAAGGGTGGTTATTAGTCACAGTGAGGTTAGGCAGTTTTATTCCAATTTGCATTAAACATAGCAAGTAACTTGTGTCAAGCTTAACTATAAGCTCTGTCTCTCTATCCAGATATCCGAAAGGTGAACACAGTCATTGCTGTGGAATTCATGTCTACAACATTAATGACATGCACATGAAGTGCTGTGCAGGGACTCTCTATGACCTGGCATCATTAGGCAAATACGAGCAAGACGTGCAGTGCTGTGGATCCATTCTACTAAAGCCAGAGGTGTGTTTCATTAATTGTCATAATAATACTGATTTTTTTCCATTCTGAAAGGTTTATTGCTTATGTCTGTTTAAAATATATCAATGACCGTAAATGTTCCTAGAAAGGGAACTCCTTCTCCTAATCACAGGCTAGACGTGATGAGGTGCTGCTATAGGCAAGTTCAGTCAAAAGTAAGAACAACTGGTAGAGGAACATTTTTAATGTCTCCTAGCATGCAGTCAGCCACTGGCCATCATGATTTTTTCGGTTGTCAGTCCATCCTACTGTCCCATTCTTTGTGATATCTCAAGAATGCAGAGAATGAGCGAATTTCTTCAGATTTGGTACAAACACAAAAGACATTTCTTTGCCTTCTTAAAGGTCCAGTGTGTAAGATTTAGGTGAAAGGGAACTATTGGCAGAAATGTAATGTAAAATAATTCTCATGATGTTCTCAGTAGTTCATTTCATCTAAATTGTATGAATTGTAGTTTTCTTTACCCCAGAAAAGGCCCTTATTATTTAAATACTTTATATTTACATCGAGGGGACAGAAAGAGAGGGTGAGGTGAGGGGTGTTCAGCTGCAACATGCAATTTCAACACTAGATATCACAAAATTCTCCACACTGTACCTTTAAGAACAAATTAAGAGAATCCCATTACATTTGGCACACATGTTAACTTTGACTTATGGACTAACTGATTAGATTTGGTTGGTCAAAGGTCAAAGGCATAGTGGCCAAGCAGAAATGTTTTTCTGCCTAAGGAAATTTCTTTAAATTTTTTCATCAAAGATGAATTGAAAATCTGAAACTCAACACAACCATTTTGATTCTTTATATAAAAAGTATTCTGGCTAAAATAATCAGTTATTATTATATATATCATATTAATACAGCCATCTGGTTTGGTGCACAAATCACAGTACTTTTGCCCATAACTGGGAGGACATCGATCACTGTGTCTTGGACGTATTTAACATATATCTTTACTGTATGTCATGGACAAATGATATCAGTCTCACTAATCTTTGGGGGTACGATGTCAAGCATGTTAATGTGACTTTCATATTGTTCATGATTCTATGATCTATGTTTAGAACCAAGATGTTTGCTGCTCAAGTGTGGACAAAAAGGTGCCCTACTCGATGGAGAGAGGATTCAGATGCTGCGGTCACCTATACTACAACACCTCTCTGTGGTCGTGCTGTGACGAGAAGCTGAGTCCTTTACGCCACCCGGGACAGGCCAAGATGAATGATGGTCAGATTCTGTTTTGTCCCTATCTCACAGAATAGTACTTGACCTTTGTCATTATGTCTTGCAGCTAGTTTCTCCATCTTAGCAGTAATATGTTTTTATACTTCTCTTTTTTTAGAATCCAGATATCTTTCAGAGAACAATCTGAACTCAAAAGATCTTTGCAAACAAAGTAAGATACCACTTTATGATTAAGATTTTTTTAGATTGGGAGGAAATACCGTCTTTGAATAATTGCAGATTTGTGAAATTACAAATTTTTTCTTTATGTCCTTTAGTGAATTTCGGCACCGTGGAAAGTGTATCTCTGCACAGTGTCGTGTTCCGCAGTGTGCTTAAAATCCACCCAATGAACGGCACTGTTAAAGCTCTGGCATCGCCTTACATCCTGAAAACACCTGATCGTTGCAGCAAGCCTAAACTGATCCCTGGCATGACATACTACTTTAATGAAGTTCATGTCTTCACTGGTTTCACCCATGACCCTATTCAGTCGCTCTATTTCATTATTTACAAATGTCAGAATCTCAACACCTTTTGTCATTGCTGTTTTTCTGCTGAAGAACATACTTCTCCTATATAACTAGTAGTGTTCGCACTTTATTTGCCTTTATTTTACATCTCATGGAACAACTGTATTTTTATCATCTATTATCTACAGCTACTGAGTTTCACTGTGCAATCACTAACCCTGCTTTTGACTGACGACAATCACTCCTGTATCGGGGACTGACATGTGCATGGTGAAGTAATCATCTGTAGACTACAGTATTGTCTCTGAATATACAGCTAAAACCTCAAGCAGTAAAAGCTTTGTCCTCTGCTGAAAAGTTCAGTCTCCAAACTAATGTTGATTTTAAGCTAAACAGCTATCTGTTAATATTACTGAAAGTTACTCTTCTTAAGTTTGATGCTAATTTACTTCTTATATTACTGTTACTTTATTATTGATAGTAGTTAGTAAATAACTATAAGCTTGAAACCTACCCACAGCTATGGCATGAGTCTTCTTTTATTGTTCCATTTTATTCTGCATTCAGAGTGCATTATTTTTTCAAGTGAGTGTGTATTATTATGCAAAGTCATAGGAATCACATGCACGTGTTTGATGCTATTATTTTTCTAAGTCATAAACATTTTGAATCACAATTCACTATGAATTTAAGCTCTTTTTGAGCAAGTGTTGACTACAGAAAACCAAAATTTTGGGGATTTATACATATTCTATTACATGTTGATTTTTGATATAATGCAAAAACTTTGTGCCCGTTTCTAATAAATAAAACATTTTTAAATAAAAATCGAACCTGTTGTGTTGTATCTGACTTCATCTGGAAACATAATGTAGTCTAATATCACAGGATACTGAGGTACGAGCTCTACTGACTGCAAATTGTAGGCCACTAGGCCACCACTTTAGGTGGCCACCACTTTGGGTGGCCACCACTTTGGGTGGCCTAGTGGTTTGAAAAGAGGCACATCAGACTGGAATGTTGCTGGTTCAAGTCCATGGACTGACAGAAAACATCTCTGGACCGTTTGATCAGCCAGACTTGGATCTGCTAGAGGACAGATGATTCCACTGTCTCCACTGTCTCTACAAGGCACTGTGTTCCCTGAGCACTTTCAATAGCAGGATATCCAATGGAATTATTGATGGTGTCTGTACTGATCCAAGCCACAACAATGCACTATGTGGGTGTGAATTTTTCTCTAACGTCATTGGTGACCTTTTGTTTTATGATTTATTTTCCGTCATTCTATTTACAGAGTTCCCATCTGCAACTGCTTCCACAAGATATGTGTCTGTGTCTACAAGAGTGAAAAATGTTGCATTAATCAAAAACACTTTATATGGAGGTTGCGTGGGGAGCTGTAATAGTAGACCATGTTTTTGAGGTATGAAGAGGCCCCAACAATATTTGGATTGTCTTTAATAATACATTTACCCCCTACCAAACAGACTTCAATGGCCTGTGTCAATTCGAACACAGTTATATGAGCCTATTCAGGTTTTCATTACCAAGGTTCACATTGCACAGAAAGAGGCTGAAACCTACAGAGTTCGCTCATAAGCTCGTGTTAAACAATTTAGAACATTCTTTGTGAGTAACTTGAGGGTGTCAGTATCACTGAAGCAAACTAAGGCAGTTCACTCAAAGAGCAGGGTGCTTCATTTTAGGCTACTTGTGTTGATCGAAAAAGATTAAGACAGAGCAGGCCTGTATTTGTGTTAGCGAGTAAAGATGGATTATTGAGCTGATGATAAGCAGCGGCTGTTACTGTAAAGCCACTGTTAAAGCCACCTGTAGAAGCAACAGTAACCTGCACAGATTCAGACGTAGATTTTGTAGCTCTAGTTTTGTACTGAATAAGATAGAAAACGATTGATTATCTAAATATCAAATGAGGGAAGAACTCACTGGAATTTCAGCTGTTTGTCCTATGGGACCTTTGTATTGATGGTAAAAAACTTAGCAGATATCATCTACCTGGTTGCTGTTGCCTAACACATTAAATTGACAATGAAGAAAGATTCTATGTGCTGCTGCTTTTCTCTGATCCTCAGCAGGGACACTGCTAGTTTCTACCTGCTCGGCATGCTCAAGAGGCTGAAGAACTTCAATCTCTAGCATTAAATCAGTCGTGAAGACCTGAAAAACCTGCTGCACCACTATGAAGAAGGCAGGGCAGCGGGCATCCGTACAGATGGAGGTAGAGCCCTATAGGACATATCTGGTGCCTTCTACTTTGTTGGAACTGTTGTCTCCACCATTGGTGAGTCAAGATGAGTGGTGCACTTAATTTACAAACTACAGGTACTAACCTAAGACGGATCAGTAAATCAGAGTTAAATTGAGGGTTGTTTGTTTAAATTGCATCGTCATGATTATGTTCAGTTGGCGATTTCTTCATTTTTACAAGCAAGGATGGTCAAAATAACTCAACAATGCATGGACATAATCATGAAACATGAATCATGATTTGTCACTTTTGGAGCTGTGGGGGACAACACCTCTGGTGCAAGGAACTGTTTGCTGGTTGTGTGAACGTAAAGCCAGTCTGTACAAAGTTTATGCCGAAACCTTCCTGCCTGCTGAAGATGGGAGAGAGAGAGAATGCTGTCCTCATACTTTTCAATGTCATTCTGTTCAGTAACTCTGGGCTTCTGATCTTCTCTCATCTCACATTTACATGTTGGATTTAAGTATGCATGTGCAATGTTACTTTTAAATAAACATACCAAGGGATTTCTGCACGTATTTCTGATTTTAGTACTTTTGTTGGGGTTTTAAGCAACAAATACTTAAATACTTATTGATCAAATCCTGATAATAATCTTTGGATTAAAAATAGTAATATGTGCCGATAAAGAAAGGATCCCTTTAGGGCCAATCAATGCCACATCCAAGTAACGTGAATCTATAACAATCACACACAATTTTACTAATCATATGAACCTACCTGGACACATGGAGCCATATTTATTTGGGGAGGATGAGAAGGGAGAAGTGTTTTAAATAATAGAAAAAAGTGATATTATTCCTGAAACTATGGAGGACAAACATGCCTCTGAGATAAAAAATTAAACCAGCCTCATCCCTGAGAATCAATTTATAGCCTTTCTTATTCTCGACAATATCTGTTGGCAATTTCAATTTTAGAACAACTTACATATTCACAGACTGCCGTCTTTTCACCATGTCATCTGGGGTAAGTGGCATTGAAAAATACTCTTGTTGTCAGGGGCTGGCAGAAGTGGCAGGCGTGGACCCAAAGCTGGCTCTCGCTGACGGGTTTGATCCTGGACACATGAAATGTGGGATGAACCCTCATCGTACGGGGCAGGTTAAGCCGGACAGCAGCTGGGTTGATGATCTGCGCGATCGGGAAAGGTCCCACAAACCTCGGAGCCAATTTCCTGGACTCCACCCGGAGAGGAAGGTCACGGGTAGACAGCCAAACCCGCTGACCGGTAGTGTAGTTGGGCGCCGGGGTGCGGTGTCGGTTGGCCCCCCTCTGGTACCGGTCAGAAGCGCGCAGGAGCGCAGAGCGGGCCTGCAGCCAGGTCCTACGACAGCGCCGTATAAACACCTGGACGGATGGAACCCTGGCCTCTCGCTCCTGTACCGGGAAGAGTGGGGGCTGGTATCCTAGAGAGCACTGGAATGGGGAGAGTCCCGTGGCTGAACTYGGAAGGGTGTTGTGTGCGTATTCTACCCACAGGAGGTGCTTAGACCAGGAGGATGGATTGTGGGACACCACGCACCTCAGAGCTGTTTCCATWTCCTGATTCATCCTTTCYGACTGGCCATTYGATTGTGGATGGAACCCAGAAGATAGGCTGACCCTGGCACCCAGCAGGCTGCAGAACTCCATCCAGAACCYAGAGGTGAACTGTGGGCCCCTGTCAGAGACAATGTCACAAGGAAGGCCATGCACACGAAAGACGTGCTGTAACATGAGCTCCGCCGTCTCCTTGGCAGATGGTAATTTAGGTAACGGAATAAAATGGGCCGACTTGGAGAACCTATCAACAACGGTGAGTATGGTGGTGTTACCGTCAGATGGCGGAAGTCCAGTGACGAAGTCCAGGGAGACGTGCGACCAGGGGCGATGGGCAATGGGCAGTGGCTGGAGCAGGCCAGCAGGGGCGTGATGGGCACTCTTGTGCTGAGAACAGGTACGGCAGGCAGCGACAAACTCCTTTGTGTCCTCCTCCATGGACCCCCACCAGAAACGTTGCCTCACCAGCGCTAAGGTGCGCCTGACCCCTGGGTGGCAGGCAAGTCGGGAAGAA